TCATCTAAATTCAAATGAGTTTGAGACTATCTATAATACTATATTTACAAATAGAAAATTTATTTGCTATCACTTATCTATTATAATATAGTTTATCTTCCAAAATAAATGCTCTGAAATAATTAAAATTCTATCTTATTTTAATGAATATTATGTTTAAACAAAAGGTAGTCTAATTAGTCAGCACTGCCTAGAATATTTAATTAAAGGGAATTATATTAATTCTTAATTCTATTTAATTTTGTTTCATTATTCCATGACGGTTTTTCCCGTAAAATGCCTCAATCCAGTATAATCTATAGTTATTTTTCCCTTATCTAAACATCACGTGGAGTCTATCAACTCGTAAAGTCAAGTAATTAAATAATACTAAAATAATCAATCCCTAAAATCAAGGAAACCTACCCTTCTTTTTCTCCAAAATCAAAGCAAATAATTATTAAAATAAACCTACTTCTTTTTATTCATAACCATTTCTATACGTACACACCATACAAAATCAAGACAATTCCATGTACACATGTCAACATCACATCTTCCTTCCAAGTTTTAATTGAATTTAAAAACCAATTTCTTCAAATCGAAATTTCTTGGTGCTGGGTTATCCAAATCGACTATTTCTCGAGCCTAAAATTCATAATTAAATACTGGCTATCCAACGAGTATAATATTAATATACTTATTTTTACTCTATCGAAATTTAATTTTGACTCAAAGTATAAGAATTTAAAATATATTACCTCTTAGTCCCTCAACTTTTGAAATAATATAATATAGATATTAAATAAATTTTTATCAAAAATTTTGGGATGTTACAGGTAATGTCTGTGGCAAAGTGTAAACTAAAGTATACACCATAGTGTTCATGTGGCTAGGTCCTTACCGATAGAACTTTTACAATTTGTACACTGATTTTTGACACGTTGTTTGACACTTGAATTGTTGTCAAGTGTTAATTATATGGGAAATCTATTTAAAATTTAAACTGTCCTACAGGGTAATATCACGTGGCAAAGTGTAAGCTAAAGTGTATACTATAGTGTACATGTCGCAAGGTTTTTACCGATTGATCATTGCTATTTGTACACTGATTTTTGACACGTTGTCTTACACTTGCATTGTTACCACGTGTCAATTGGATCAAAAAACTGTTTGAAATTTAAACTATCCAACAGGGTAATGTCACGTGACAAAGTGTAAACTAAATGTACACCGTAGTGTTCATGTGGTAAGGTCCTTATCGATAGAACTTTGCTATTTGAACTCTTATTTTTGACACGTTGTTTGACACTTGCATTATTGTCAAGTGTTAACTGGATGGGATAACTGTTTGAAATTTAAACTGTCCAATAGGGTAATGTCACGTGACAAAGTGTATACTAAAGTTTACACCATAGTGTACATGCGGCAAGGTCCTTACCGATTGAACTTTGCTAGTCGTACATTGATCTACGTTGTTTGACGCTTGCATTGCTGTCAAGTGTCAATTGGATGGAAAAACTACTTTAAATTTAAACTATCCAACATGATATTGTCATGTGGCAATGTGCAAACTAAAGTGTACACCATAGTGTACTTGTTGCAAGGTTCATACCGATTGAACTTTGTGGCTTGCACACTAATTTTTGACATGTTTTGAACTATGCTATTTGCACATTGATTTTTGACACATTGTTTGACACGTGCATTGTTGTCTTGTGTCTATTGGATGGAAAAACTGTTTAAAATTTAAATTGTCCAACAGGGTAATGTCACGTGGCAAAGTGTAAACTAAAGTGCACACCATAGTGTACATATCGCAAGGTTCTTACCGATTGATCTTTGCTATTTGTACACTGATTTTTGACACGTTGTTTGACACTTGCATTGTTGTTAAGTGTCAATTGGATATGAAAACTATTTGAAATTTAAACTGTCCAACAGGTAATCTCACGTGACAAAGTGTAAGCTAAAGTGTACACCATAGTGTACACGTAGCAAGGTCCTTACCGATTGAACTTTACTTTTTGTATACCGATTTTCGACACGTTGTTTGGCATTTGCATTGTTATCAAGTGTCAATTGGATGGGAAAACTGCAATTTGTACACTGATTTTTGACACGTTGTTTGACACTTGCATTGTTGTCAAGTGTCAATTGGATGGGAAAACTGCAATTTGTACACTGATTTTTGACACGTTGTTTGACACTTGCATTGTTGTCAAGTGTCAATTGGATGGAAAAATTGTTTGAAATTTAAAATGTAAAATAGGGTAATGTCTCGAGGCAAAGTGCAAACTAAAGTGCACACCGTAGTGTTCATGTGGCAAAGACTTTACCGATTGAACTTAGCTATTTGTAGACCGATTTTTGACACGTTGTTTGACACTTGCATTGTTGTCAAGTGTCAATTGGTTGGAAAACTGTT